TGATGATGTATGGAGGGGATTATAATCAATGTAATGAAAGAAGTCATATGAATGGTTGAATGTGAAACTGATGATGTGCCCTGTAAACTTTCACTCAATCCACAATAAAAACCGTAAAAAAATAAAATAAAATAAAAAGAGGTAGTGTATGATCAAGAACTGATGATACTGATGGAAGAAGTCCAAGCTGTACTGAGGGCACTGGTGAAAAAGAAGCTCCAGGAACTCATGAACACAAATTGAAATCTTTGAAAAAACTGATGCAGCAGTGGAGGTGCTCACTCATCTATGCCAAGAAATTTGGAAGAATACTTACTACCTGGCCAACCAACTGGAAGAGGTTCATATTTGTGCCCATTCTAAAGAAATGTTACCTAACAGAATGAGGAAATCATCAAACAATATCATTACTATCATATGCAAATAAAACTTTACTGAAAATAATTCAAAAATGGCTGCAACAGTACATTGACAGAGAACTACCAGAAATTCAAGCCAGATTCAGAAGAGGATGTGGAACTAGGGTATCATTGCTGATGTCAGCTGGATCTTGACTGAAAGCAGAGAATACCAGAAAGACGTTTACTTGTGCAAAGGCTTTTGACTGTGTGGATCGTGACAAGCTATGGATAACGTTGTGAAGAATGGGTAATCCAGAACACTTAATTGTGCTCATGAGGACTCTGAATGTAGACCAAGAGGCAGTTGTTCAAACAGAACAAGGGGACATTGAATAGTTTAAAATCAGGAAAGGTGTCCTTTCACCATATTTATTCAATCTGTATGCAGAGCAAATAATCCAAAAAACTGGATTATATGAAGAACAATGTGGATTGGAGGAAGAATCATTAACAACTTACGATATGCAAATGATACAAACTTGCTTGCTGGAAGCAAAGAGGACTTAACATATTTACTGATGAAGATTAAAGACTATAGCCTTCAGTATAGATTGCACCTCAATATAAAGAAAACAAAAATCCATACAACTGTAGAAAAAATAGAAGTTGTCAAAAACTTCAGTTTGCTTGGATCTACAATCAACACTCATGGAAACAGCGGTCAAGAATCAAATGATGTACTGCAGGAGACCTTTTTAAAGTGTTCAAGAGCAAAGATCTCAGTTTGAGGACTAAAGTGCCTCTGACTCAAGCCATGCTATTTTCAATAGCTTCATATGCAAGTGAGAGCTGAACAATGAATATAGAAGACTGTAGAACAATTGATGCAATTAAGTTATGTTGTTGGAGAAGAATACTGAAAGTACTATGGACTTCCAAAAGAACAAACAAATCTGTGTTAGAAGTACAGCCAGAAGTACAGTCAGGATGGTGAGACGGCTTCTCTCATACTTTGGACATATTATCAGAAGGGACCAGTCCCAGAACTTTATGCTTAGTAAAGTGAAAAAGAGATGGATTGGCACAGTGCTTGAGCAATGGGTTCAAGCGTAACAACAATTCTGAGAATGACACAGGACTGGGCAGTGTTTCGTTCTGTTGTGCATAGGGTCGCAGAGTTGAGACCAACTGGACAGCACCTAACAGCACAATATTTCCATTTTCCTGTGTCCCATTCCTGGCCTTAAACAAACATCACTTTTACATTTCCATTAAACTATTCTGGGATTCTGGATACAATGTTTTCCTAAATTAGTATCTGTGAAATCACGGGTTGATGTGCTAGTTACACATTTTCTAATAAACACTGAGAGAAATTGTTAAAATTAGAAGTCTACTCATGTAACACTGATATAGCCTTAGTGGCTCAGTGGTTAAGAGCTCAGGTGCTATAGGAAAGGTTGATGGTTCAAACCCACCAGTGTCTTCAAGGGAAAAAGATGTGACAGTCTGCTTCTGTAAAGATTGTTGCTGTTGTTAAATGTCGTTGAGTCGATTCCGACCCATAGAGACCCTGTATAGGGTTTCCGAGGAATGGCTGGTGAGCTTAAACCGCCGACCTTGCAGATCAAACGGTTTTACAGTCTGGTGCAGCCTTAGAAATCCTGTGGGCAGTTCTACTTTGTCCTAAAGGTTCACTATGAGTAAGAATCAACTCAACAGCAATGTCATCATCTCCATACGATCATACTGGATTAGCTCTTCAAATTCCTTTAAGGTTTTGAAAGTTTAAAAGCTTTAAAACTAAGAAAATATGTACAAGAAGAGCTATTGTAGCAGAAGAGAACAGAAATTTGAGAATGACTTAAGGAACCTAACTCCAGTGACAATAATCTAGGCTGGCAACAAAAGCTAGGCTGGTAGGAGGGTTAGTATGTGGATCCAATGAAACCCCCATGTTCTTACCAACACGACTCTGGAACAGAGCTGGGCCCCCGGGAATCCTGGGCCCCTGGAAGGACTCATCAATGGCCAGGTCATCACCATTACAGTCTTCTGCTATTTCCTCAGGTTCCCAGACCCCTTCCTCCTGTTCATCCACCTCTGCATCACTATCTGCCAGTCTCGGGAGTGCCACAGCCTCTCCAGGGCTGCGAATGGCTGTCCGAGCCCTCACTAGGGCCTCCAACTCCTCATAGAAGGGGCAGGTCCCTGGCGGGTGGCTGCTCTTGGCTTTCCGGTAATTCCGTAGGAGGTTTTTGACCCTGTACCGACACTGCTCTAGCGTTCGCAGGAAACCCCGTGCTCTTAGCCTCTCTGCAATGGCCCGATATATCTGGCGGTTCTGGTGACAAGTCCGGAGCTTTTCAGAGAAAGTAGACTCACTCAAAATTGCCAGGAAAGTCTTAGTCTCCTCATAGCCCCAGTGAACACCTGACACCTTCATGTCCTCCACATCACAGTGGTACTGGTCTGCCCAGGTCCTCGAGTCCCTCCAGGCCAATGGCTGAGCTGAGTTGGCTTGCTCATTATCCATGCTGTAATCTCCTGCAGTGTTCCTCTTCCCAAAATTTATAAGGCGTGTACCCCAAAACTCTGGTGCTTGCTCTCGCTGGGAGGTGCTATTTGGTTGTGAAACTAGAACTCCTACACAAAAGGAAGGAGAAGAATTATTGAGTAAAAATGATCTATTAAGTAGTGTTTGTCCCTAAAACTTTTATCCTACAAGAGGCAGATGAGAAATTCCCATGCTCATCCCTTAAAATATCTAGGAAACATGAACAGCCACTCTTTTCATCACTCTCTTAAGAATTAAGGTAGCACTGGGCTGCTAACCACAAAGTCAGTAACTGAAACCTACCAGCTGCTCTGTGGGAGAAATGGGAGGCTGTCTGTTCCCTACAGAGTGGCCGTCTCAGAAACCCTAGGGAGCAGGATGAGTCTAAATTGACTAACGGTAGTGGGTTTAAGATCCATAGCTTTCTGAAGTCTATGGAATTTCAGAGTTAGGAAGAAGAGCTGTGCTTTGCAGCCAACACTGTGACAGTAGAAATGAAGCATGCCTGGGTAAGAGGTGAAGACCCTGATGGTACATCACCTTCATTACCTCATACATTCATTGTGGTCCATGGTCAGGGACCCAGCCTGCTGCCTCAGAAATCTGATGTTTTCAGCACCAGATAGGCGCCATCTCTCTGAAGCTGACTCAAGTGAACTAAGTCTATGAGATGGATTTATTAAGCCAAAATGAGAAATAAATAACTGTATGAAGTCTAGAAGACCTGCACACTCTCCTTCCCTACTATATGCACAGCTGTATTGGAAGCCAGATAATGAGCCATTTCTTTGGAGAGTCTAGGATCATCATGAGGGAAGACACACAAATGGAAAAAACAGGACACTAAGATAGGTCTGACTCATGGTTAAAGTAAGATACTAGAAGCTTGTTGGCTACTTAGTTGGCAGTGGAACCCCGGTTTTAGCATGTATCTGGGGAAATAGTGACCAGAGGAACAAACTTTAAGATATGATAAGCTAGATCATCTTTGAGCCTCTTTTAGCTTTAAGCTCTTTTTCCTCTGTTTTTCTTCAAGTATTTATTTTAAGGCTTCCTATTTTGTCACAGCTGGGAGCTACTGGGATAGTGGTCCTTTAAACACAGCTTATTGGTTTAAAAAACAACAATATTTATTTTATCATTCTTTGAGGAAGTCCAGAAGGAGTGCACGCACTAACCACCGGAGAGATTACCTCAGCAACGTCATAACAGACTCATGTTCTCTCTCTGCTCTGCCAGTCTCAAGATCGGCTTCATATTAAAGCTATCTCACTGCACCACAGGCCAACGAGACCACAAGTTTCCCAGCTGGAGAAACACACAGAAAGAACTTTTCTTCCAACCACTGAATTCAGTGGTGAAGAGACACACTTTGGAAACAGAGTGGACCTCTTCTTCCCGGGACATTGTTTCCTTACCCAGGGACCTGCTGTTTCCACAGCTGCCATCTGGGGGCTCCTTGTCGAACTCCTCAGCAGGTTTTCTGGGTCCTAGGGCTTCCTGCCAGATGCAAAAGAGAACACCAATGACAACTGCGGCAACTCCAATGTCACTGCCTTATAAAAAGCCGGGGATGCCACCAGACCTCTGGAAAGACAGCCAGAATGTACGGGTGACATGTGGGAGGCTAGTGTCATAACAGCAGCAAGCCAAGAAGCAAAAAGTGGGGTTGGAAGGGACAGGCTTCTAGCTGGATAACCCGTTCTCATGCCCAGTGCTGCGGGGAGCCCGTGGGGACACAGGTGGGACACTGATGCTGAGAGCAGAGGAGTAGTGCTATCTATCAGCAAGGAAGAACAAGCAGTAGCTTACCTGGAACTCAGGGGCCACCTCCCAATCACCAATGCTCCCCATCTTCGGGAGAGCAGGGACCCGGGAAGTGAGAACAGCTGAGGAGAAGAAAACCTCTCTGAAACCCAAGCTCTGGATTCCAGAGACACCCCTCCCCTCTCAGGTCCAGCTTTCTAGATGTCATGCTTGTCAGACTACCCATGTGGCCAGTGCAGATTTCTCCTTTGACTTCCCTTCTAGAGCACGTAGCTCCAAAGCAGCCTTGAGTGATGTGCCAGGTAGAAAATGAACTTCCATAATTACTGCCCAGCTGCAGCCCCATCTGGCCCTATGACATGATTTTAGCTACAGTGGGGCATGCTGGGGCTGCTGGGAGCTTCACCCTCTTTCCCAAAGCTTCCTTACGTACCTTACTTCTCAGTAAGCATGTCCATCAGACAGTTGTCAAGGTCTTGCTTTGAAGTCTGTGTGTGCTTCCTCCCCAGGCACAATTCCCCACCATCCAGCCCTTCTCCCTGGGGGCAAAGGCTCCATTCCCAGCGGTGCCCTGGTTCTTGGCACTCACCACTCTCTCTCAAGGACTGTAGCATCATATTGGTGTTTAGATGCTTGGGAAGAACAGGGTTTGGATTCTTCACCCACTGCTTCTGGGACTGTCCCTCGGGCCAGTGATCTGCTGGCTGTAGCTGGAAGTTCTGTGATTCCTGCAATACTTTTAAGGACCTGATCTCTGCACACGATTCCAGTTCCTACACACAGACAGCCAAAAATTCCCAGTCATCAGTTCTTTAAGTCTGGTAAGGCAGAGAATGTTACTTTGAGTACAACTGTGGTTCAAAAGCTTACAGGAGCTCTTAAGATACAAAGATGGCTTAAACGAGAACTACAGAGCCACCATACTGACTTCAGGACATAGATCAGCAAATTGGTGGCACAGCAGTTAAGCACTCCTATTTATCAGTAGCTTTGCAGGAGAAAAATGTGGCAGTCTGCTTCTGTCAAGATTTTCAGCCTTGATAACTTCATGAAGCAGCTCTACTCTGTCCTACATGGTCACTGTAAGTCCTACATGGTCACTGTAAGTCCGAATGAACTTACATGGTCACTGTAAGTCCTACATGGTCACTGTAAGTCCGAATGAACTTGATGGCAGCGGGTCTGATTTTGGTTTGCTTTTATAACAACGAGTGCATGTCTGTTCATCTACATTCTTTCAGAACACCTCTATGTATATGCAAGCAAATACAAATATTCTTATTTTTTCCCTTTTTTCATAAGAGGCATCTGAGTCTACAATGCTCTGAACCTTATTTTTTAACCCACACAGTTCAAGCTCACCAGTTGCTCTTCGGAAACCCTATACAGGGTCACTATGGGTCAGAGCTGACTCGATGGTACTTAAAAACAACATCCATCAGTGTCAACTCATTGCCAAATTTAGCTCCAAAAACCTTCTGATTTAAAACCACAAATCCACTCTCATAAGGCAGCACTTACTACCCTTGAGGATAGACCATGAGCACCAAAGCCCAATCCCAGTGAGAAGATCTACCAATATCTTAGATGACTTCACAGGAAGTAAACATCTGCTCATTGACATTCTTATATCATTGCTTCAAAAAAAATAAACAAAAACATCTTCACTTTGCTACTGTGACAGTCTACAGCAGAACTGTGTGACTAGACTCCACAATAACCTTCACTCCTGACCTCAGCTCCTCTATTATCTTCCCTGAGCAAAGATTCTGATTAAAGGGATGGCAGCTGTGGACCGAGAAGGTGGATTCAAAGGACAATGATGAGACCAAGAAAAAAAAAAAAAAATTAGAGAACACTGTTTCAGGGAAGATGAATAAAAAATCCTTCAAAGATGCTTGTGCACCTGATAGAGAGAGAGATTCTGCTAGATGGTGAGAACAGGAAAAACAATCTAGAAATCATAAAACAGAAGAGATGAAAATATCCCTTTAAAGAAAACAGCATACAGGCCCTTTAACCTAGAAGGTCCCAAACTTTTTCAGGTGGTAGTTCTCTTTGAGGAACACAATATATTTCATTCCATTAGTAAGACCTGGAAGAACTTTACTTGCAGAAAATCTAAATAAATTGTGTACTCTGCAACATATGATAACAAACTGCAACATCTATGCACACATGCCAAACTCCTTTGCTGCTGTTCCATTTGTTTGTACATTTGGGAGTACCTGGGAGTACATAGGCAAAATGGAAATGAAAACAAAAATCAGAGGAGAAAAACATAACAGATAAAATTACAATGCCTTATTTTTTTTCTCAATTTTTGAAGCAGTTTAATCTTGGGCCAGCTCACAGGAGCATAATTTGAAAACGTTTCCTCTAGTTCAACCCCCTCATCTTGAAGATGAAGAATCGTGAAGATCCTAATATAAATTCATTTTAAGATCCTGATTTAAGCTCATTTAACGTTCATTTCTGGGTCTCAAATTCTTTACCTTTCAGCTCTGAACCCCTAAGACTTCCATTGGCTCTTCACTGCCCCTTAAGACAAATAGCTTGTTTCTTTAAAACAAGCAAGCAAGCAAGCAAGCTAATCTGGGAGGTGAAATGGCTTATTAAAAAAAGGTACACTCTGTCTCATACTTAGATTTTTTTTCCCCTCATACTTAGTTTTGTAAGTAAATATGAGGAGTCTTCAAAGAGTTTATGGAAAAATGGAATAAAAAGATAATGGGATATTTGCACAAGCTTTCTGAAGTCCCCTTGTCTTATTCTCTCTGTATCATCAATCAGTTTGTAAAGGAATCCAAAAAGAAAAGCCACAGACCTTTCTTCTTCCAATCTCTTATCTGTACAGCACTTCTCGACACATAGAAAACCCCCCACCATCTACAAAGGATGTTTTCCTTAAACCTATAATTTCCCTCAACAAAATGCAGCTAAGAATATCACTATATGACAAATGGAAAGCAACAGGATTATGCTGAAATGAGGTTCTGGGTGGCTGGCAGCCAGCTAAAGGACTTGTTCTACATACACCAGCTTCAAAGCAGGATTTGAAATGTGTCACAACAAAATTACATAATGAGCCTTCGGGTCTCTTACAAGTTGTTGAAACTGTGAGTGTTAAATCCATGATATTTTCACTTGCTTCAGTTCTGCCATCTAGTTATAGAAACTTGGGCAAGTTACTTATCTCTCTGTGTGTCTTAACCCATTTGAAAAATGGTGATGAAAAACTAAACAAAATAAGAAAAACCCCACAGTTGCTATCGAGTTATCCTAACTCACAGTGGCCCATGTGTGTCAGAACAGTGACCCTATAAAGCAGAGCACAACTGCTCCAAAGGGTTTCTGACTGTCTCATAGTTCCCCACAGGAGGGTTTGGTGGGTTCCAACTGCCAACTTTTCCATTGGCATCCCAACACTTAACCCACTGCATCACCAGAGCTGCTGTCTGATACAGTGACGTGCTCAATAAATGTCAGCTGATGTCTTGTTTGAGCCTCACAACTCAGAGGTGCTTTAATGCTCATGGTTTGCAGAAGAGGCATCTGTCATGTAGTGGAAAGAAGGATGGACTTTGGAACCTAAGAATCTGAGTATAAAGGGGTGGGGGTGTCTTGGTTTCATATGTAAAATGGACACAAAAACACAATTTCTGTCTACCCACTTTACTGCTGTCAGAATCTCAAAAAATCACATATGTAGAACATTGTGTTAAGTCTAAAACACAATATAAACTAAATACTTTTTTAAAGTCATGGTTATGAATGCTGACCTTAGAGTCAAGCTACCCAGGTTCAAATCCTGAAGCTATGTGATCTTGGGCAAATGACCTATCTCCCTCCTCTCTGCTTCAGTTTCCACATCAGTAAAATTGGGATACCAATACCTAGCTCATTAAATTACTCACAAGATTAAATGAGTTACTGTACACGAAGTACTTAGAACAACCCTGCTTGCACACCTCAAGCACTGACTGATGAAGAGCAAAGAATACAGCCTTCAGTATGGGTTACACCTCAACAGCAAGAAACAAAAATCCTCACAATGGGGCCAATAAGCAACATCACAAAGACTGGAGAAAAGGTTGAAGTCATCGAGGATTTCATTTACTTGGATCCATTATCAACACCCATGGAAGCAGCAACCTGGATCTCAAAGGATGCATCTGCTGTAAAAGATTTCTTTCGAGTTTTAAAAAGCAAAGATGTCACTTTGAAGACTACCATGTGCCTTCCATCTGCCTCATATGCACATACAAGCTGGACAATGAATAAGGAAGACAGACGAAAAACTGATGCCTTTGAATTATGGTGTTGGTGAGGAATATTAAATCAATCATGGACTGCCAGAAGAATAAATAAATCTGTGTTGTAAGCAGTTCAGCCAGAGTGCTGTACTTAGAAGCCAGGATGGCCAAACTTCTCTCACATACTTTGGACATGTTATCAGGAGAGACCATTCACAAACACAGTGAATACAACAGTGGGCTCAAATATAGCAACCATCGTGAGGCGGCACAGGAAAGGGCAGTGTTTCACTTTGCTGTGCGAAGGGTAGCTATGAGTTTGAAGCGCCTCGGTGACACCTGACAACAGCATAAAGGGGAGTTGTTGTTGCTATTATTGTTGCTGATCTGGGCAACTATTAGCCAAGTCACAGTAGCCTAGCTCTGCTGCCCTGCCCAACCCACTGCTTAGAGAACAGACTATGGCCTCCCTCACCTGTTGCTGTGCAGCCCGGGCCTCTCGATGCCAATCCTCCACCAGGGCCACCGCCTCCTCCCCATTCTCTGGGTGGCGTGCCTGTACCCAAGTCTGTACCTCCCTGGGTAGGATAGTCAGGAACTGCTCCAGCACCAGCAGCTCTAGGATCTGCTCCTTGAGGCGGATCTCTGGTCTCAGCCAGCGGCAACAGAGTTCCCAGAGCTGGCTGAAGGCCTCATGAGGTCCAGCTGCATCCCTATACTGGAACTGCCGGAAGCGCTGGCGGGAGGCCTCCGGGACAGGAACAGGGTCCTGCTCCTCCTCCTCCTCGTGGGATCTGGGCTCTGCTCCCCACGAGTCCTCCTCCAGTTTCACAATCAGAAGTCCCTCCGGCTCTGGAAGGGGAGAGGCCTGGGCCTGGAATTCTAGGGCCACAGCCATGGTCTAGAGTGTTTGTCTCACTTCAGCCGGAATGTTGTCTTCTGACTTCTGCCTGCATTTAGGCGGTCTCCTGCAGTGGGGCTCCTGAGAGAGGAGTTGCTCCCCAAGGCTCTAAAGGAAAAGACAAAGAATACAGTGAGCGAGCGTGAGGACCCAGCAGTCTCACTCTTGCCTTCTCTCACATCATCCATGCCTGTTGTTGTTGAGTGCCATCGAGTCAGTTCCGACTCACAGCAAACTCTGTACAGGGTTTCTGAGGATCAGTTGGTGAGTTTGAACTGCAGACCTTGCGGTTTAAACCAACCTTAAGGTCAAGTGCTTATCCTACAGCATCACACCAGGATGCCAAGACAGGCAGGAAGTGAGACCACAATGTGTCCCCAGAGCCAGTATGCATACCTCAAGGAAACAGCACAGGATTAAATCCTCCGGGACATGCCTAAATGGCTGACATTCAAGGCCTCTATGAGCTGGCACAGTACAGCCTCCCTTCCAAACACTTCTCTCAAGATGGGTTTTATATGTCACCCCTCCATAAGGCGCTTCCTCCTCAGTGGTAACACATCCTTTAAGGGTGCTCCCCTTGCAAAATCCTTCTCTCACACTCCCCCAGCCATTCCCCTCAGAATAAAGTGCAAGCCTTGCCTAGGTCTCCAGTCTCTTCTCTTTGCCATAGCCCTACCACTCAGAGTGCTCCCGCTACAAAGTCCCCATTCCCAGGATCACGCCGCTCTCTGAGCCTTCCCACATACTCTGATCTCCTCCCCTTCTTCACCTAGCTAGGTCTCAGTTTAAACTGCACTGTCTCCAAGAGGCCTTCCATGTGCCTTCAAACAAGACTCAGTTCTCAGCCATAAGCCTCCACTCTATGCTGCTGTTGTTACGTGCCATCAAGTCGGCTC